CCCCCCCCCCCCCCCCCAGCTAGTCCGATTCTTCGCCCCTTTCCAATACCTATTCGTCTTTTTTCCACCTCGCACATCGTCCCGTGAAAATGCTCGATAAGCCTCAAGACGTTTAACGGGTGGAACAATTCAATTTGGAATTGGTGAAAATCGAATTCACGGCGAAAATTCTTATTGTTACCTGCAACTGGTCCAGAAACTTTCCACACGAGAAACTATATGGCATTCGCACAATGAATACAGAAAGCAACATTCTGGTAAAAAAAAAAAAAAAAAAAAAAAAAAAAAAAAAAAAAAAAAAAAAAAAAAAAAAAAAGTAAAAAATGGAATCTGAACAATTCATAAATTTCATCCACAATCAAATCGCACTTCGTGGACAGCCAGATAACTTCTGTTGAATGAATTTTTACCGAAAGATCTTTAATCTTAGAAAAGTTGAGTGTTTTGATCGGGACTATAAAAATGCAAAGACTTGACTCATACTCAATCGAGATCAGAAATACTTTTTCGATGCTAAAGAAATTTACGCGAGACTGCTCTGAGACCTCACTGATAGGTTGAAATTTTACACGGGAAAAATGGAATGATTATTTTTGAAAGTTTGCATTGATCTGTATCAATTGAGAATAGTACATATTTTTTACATTTGTACACCTTTTTTATTCCTTTTATCATCAAGCTCAGTAGACGTTCACTTCTCTGGTATATACATATGCACATGTCTGTATCTCTATACGGTTCATCAAATTAAGAAAATGAGAGAAAAACGTGTAGACCACGAAGTCGTAAACGTTCCCTTTTTTTTTACGTTCTCCTAAACGGAGAAAGGCAAGGTGGAGTGTCGGAATTATACATGAGATTGAATTCGTGTAAATGAAAAAAAAAAAACGAAAGTGATGTACATATACATACGGTCATACAGTATAGTAAGGTATATACATCAGCAAGTCATCTATTAATTTGATATGACGTTTACTCTCTTGGCGAACTGATACTGTGTATTTTTTTCTAAATTACTTTCACGCGTGTAAGGTTTGTTTTCATTGAACAAACAGTGCTACTGTTGCATTTCGAAAATAATAATTCAATACGTCGTGCAATCACGTTGATATTAAAAGCGCTTGGAAATATGACACTACTGTGTTACCAATATTGGGATATTAAAGAAACTAGAAAATTTCACCAACGCGTTATTTTAGATGATTAATGAAGTTTTTTACATTGGAAAAACGTCTCTTGGCCAAGGTGACGTAAAATAAAAAATTTGCACAAAGACGCATTATTGTTTTTAGATTCTACTAGCAGTTAAAGAAGTCGATTCGAAGGATCACATATTCTATGAGGCACACCGACAAATTCGACGGAGTAGAAGGACCCTAGTTATTATTCCGTCCATATATTCGTGGGTCACACGTGCGCCTAATCATATTTATTTTAGCCTGAGAACTCTGGAGTTTCTGGCAGGACTGTCACTGTTCACTGTCCTCTTGCAAATAGAAGGAACATAGCAATGAAGCTTGAAGGGAGAATGTAGTTTCTTAGTCCAGACATGAACCTAATACGTAGTTCCTGGAGGAATGGATAAGAAAAATTCCTAAAATTACTTGATCACGATGAGATGCATTTCTGTCAGCAGAAATGCATTTTCCACCCGCAAAATTTTGCAAACAGGAATTAACTCAGAGTCATGGGTAATTGTTAAGGCCGCAGGAACTCCGTTTACGGGGTATAAACTTCTGAGGGATGTTTGCTGAGTGTGTAAAGGGGTGGCGAGTTGAGTTTCTGACTACTGCACGACGACCCACCTCGCAGGAGAAAATTAACGGTAGTCGACAAACTTTCATGCAGGCGACAAGCTTTGGCACTAGGGAGGCTTGTCGTTAACGCGTGCAGTAAGAGTGCCGTGGATCGACAAATGGTCCATAAAGATTTTCAAATTTCCCACGTGAAAACTATATGGGGCGCGTACGAATGCCTGTATTGTGATCGACAAGTAAACCAAATTGAAATTTTGAAAAATTATTAGTAATTTTTCAGCCACTCAAATCCATCAGCTTTTCATAGCCCGCGTTGTAGTACAGCTTGCCTAAAGCTTGTATATATGTATACCCATACTCATGTGAAATGGGGAATGAAAATGTAGGAGGTTCGAGAGTTACATGAAAGAAACCAAAAGGGCAAAAACCACATATATCCTCTATTGAATCAACAGGCATTTAGTTTCTAAGGGCAAAGGGTGAAGTGGAAGAAGACAGAAGAATCTTGGAAAACGAGATAATTTCAGTTTTTCATCGGGCTGGTAGTTGATAACTATGGATGCCTCATCGGATTAAATATCAATAAACAAATTCCCAGGAAATTTCGAAATATCTGAAACCGTGTAAATTCACTGTATTTTATTTTCAGCTTCTTGATAAATCCATCGCATATAATGCATCAGTCTATTAACTTCACGGGTTCCATTGAAATGTCAATTTCGATTATTAAAAACTTTCTCAGAACGGAACTGCGAGTGAGCGCTGGAAGTTCGTAGCCACTAATTAATTACAGAATGATTCGCTGTGTTAACCATTAACTAAAGTACAGTTCGCCAAAGAGAAATTCAAAATAAATAATAAACATAATAAACGAGGACAAGTGAAAAGCTGCGCTGGAGAAGTTAAATATTAACTTTTCATATTGCTGAACAATATCCATTGTACGCGCAGGTCCTACGACTACGTGAGTCGTGACACAACGTCGCTTACAGGCACGTCACTCAAAACCTACAGTTTCTGCGATACGAAGAATTGACATAAAATAAAGATATTATACATTTATAATATACCGCAACCAGTATTCAAATACGTGAGATATTAATTATTAACTTACCAGCTCGAACAGTGACGTCCCTACTAACAACAGCGCCCACGCTATTAATAGCCGAACACTTATAAATCGCCCAATGAACATCCTGTCTAAAGGCTTCTGCCTCGAACGACGGAAAGTATATAGTCCCGTTTCCCAGGACGTGACGTATGCCGGGTATACTAGCAATACTCCCACCATCAGTAGCAATCCAGTCGACAGTCGGTGCAGGATTTCCTCTGGCGATGCAGTCTACTCTGCCGCCACTGACATTAGTAAATTCCACTCGAGAGAGTGGCTCCGCCACAAAGCTAGGTCCTTGCATCTCGTAGGAAGCACTGACACCTGAAATCAAAAATATATCGAAAAATAATTATATCGCGTGATGTACTAAGAGCACCAATAATATTATTCTAATAAAAATACAAACGATATAAAGAAAATGTATGACTACAAAATTACTATTTTTTCGGTAACCTCAGAATATGGCATTATGACTCAATATATAATACAAAACTTGTACGTAAGAGAAACCATGTAATCTTTTTCTTTAAAAAATAAATCCTGCAGTGTAACGTAGTAAATTGAAACTTTTTATTTCACGACAACAAAAGAGATCAAATGTCGCAGACTAATACAAAAATCTTTACCTTAATGATCACACTCTTTATTATAGGAGCAGTGAAACTTACCATGTCAACGTATTAAGTTATCAACAAAAGATAATTATTGCTACATACTTCTTGCAAACGTTTACCTTACTATTATCTTCTTTTTTTTTTAAATACACGGGACAAAGTAAAATAAAAAACATTTCGATATATCCCAGCTGGGCTATGAAAAAATTTTGAAATAGATTAATAGCACCTGTATACATCATTAACCTAACAAATTCAAATACAAGTGCAGTTGCACTGTGACCGAGGTTACCAGTGGATAAAACCCAAGTGCAATTTAACATTATACGTTGAAACAACCGAGTTTCAGCAGAGTTAAAGTAACTATCTCTACTACAGCGAAAACAGTACGCGTTACCGTCGACACTTCCCTTATTCAAATATTGCCATTATCAAAATCGACGTTATAAGCACACACAAGTAATAGTACCAAGAACACTAGGATTTATGGACACGCAGACTATAATTACTATACTAAATCATGAATTCATCCAACCCGCCTAGCATACCGGCTTAGGTACACAAATGCTTGCACGAACGCATATAACGTGGAGCAATGCCTAATAACCATAGCCCTGTACGAGCATATGGACAGTACCTTAAAACACGAGCCTGAGGTATACCGTAGGATTTGCAATACTTATATTCTTCTTGCTCATTAGCTCGTTACCCATATTCATATCCAATACGCAAGCAATTGGTGTATAAGAAAATTCAATATTCAATCAAGCTCAAGATAATAATAAAATAGAAGGGTTAAACAACGAAGAAAGACAAGCAGAGGGAGAAGAGGGTAGCAGAAAGATAAGCGTGTCCACAGGGCGGTTCGCGCACAAGAGGGTAAATTTCCCAGTATATGAATGTTGACGCAACCCATTATACAGATGGCCGACGGTACGTTGTCTGGTCTCTTCAGCGGCCAAGCGGAAGTGTACAGCTTCAGAACTCTCCCTGGTTGACATGAAGAGTTGACTAGGGTTAGGGCACTCGAGGTATCGCACTATACTGTACTGTACGTTCCATGACGTACCGTACCCGTGCACCCCGTACAGTACCTACTGCCTACTAGCTATAGTAGCTAGTAGCTACACCCTTTGCTTCAACCCGGCACCACTCGTACAGGAGAGAAACTCGAGTGATAGCTCGGCATTGTTTAGATATTCTGATGAGCCAGTGAATTTTCGAATGCACTTCAGACCGGTCATTATTATATACTGCCGTGGTAGAATGGCCTCTTACCACTTCGTCATTAGACGTTTTCTTTATTCGGCCCAAGCTCTCCTGCTGGGATTATGTACCGAAGGGCAATTGCAACGGACAACATTGATGAATGTCTCTTTTGTGCACTTGTTGAATTTACTCTTGCGAATAGCTATGACGATGTCAACATACTTGGCGATGCTATTAAATTCAAGGAATATACCGTTTACAGGCTCTTTACAGCTGCAAATGTACTGTGGATAATAATAATGTACACGACTCGTTTTAAAATGACAAATGGATGTTGTAAGATGGAAGTAGTCGGCAATGTTAACAGTGGAGCGATGACAATAATTGTCCGTCTAATTATACTCTCAAGGTAACAATGCAATAGCTCCGTTATCGGTTACGGTCTTTCAGGACGCGGAGAGTGTGTTATAAGTATATGTATATGAAAATGTACTAGACGTATGTACCTTGATTAAATACCGTCATGTAGCGCGTAGAACGAAGGGACCTGGGAAGGATTAAAGAAGAAAAAAGGGAGAGGACTGATGCGTACGTAAAGAGAGGTTGGGCGAAGGACAGAAGGGCCACGGGTAGCCGGTGGAAAAATAAGGGATGAAAAAAAGAGAGAAGGAATTGTGGTTGGGAGAAGGGGTGGAAGGAATCCAGCAGCATCACCGTTTTCCACCGCGGAATCCGACTCTCATCCTATGGTTTGCTATTCTTTCTTTCCAGCAGTCGACGCCTGGGACGAGGCCGTCGCTAGTATGTCCCAACCCTTTTTTTTCATCCGTTTCCGCTACCTACCCAGTCCAACTTTACCCCCCGCCCTCCCCTCTACACACCTACACCTTCAGAACAGACCAGGGATTTCTGCTGCGGTTGTCCAACAATGCAAACCAACTTTCTCATTTCAATGTATTGTGCCCCGGCATTGTTCGTCGAGCTCGTTCCCGATCATCGTGGCGCGCGGACCGAAGATTACGGACTTTTTCTTTTTTCAATTCTTCTGTTTTTATCCGCGCTCGGAGTGCACCGAACGAAACCCATTGAAAAGGTTCGGGGACGGGAATGGGGAGATTTTTGCAATAATTTCACCGGGAACGAATTAATTATACCGCCTGGTGAAATTCCGGAAATTCGTTGCACTGTCGTAATTTTCAGAATGGGATAAGAGGATGCGGGCTCACCGTAAGTTTACAAGTGGAATTGCCAATGGTACAATGGGTAACCCTGGCATTTCCAACGGATAAATATATATACCAGAGCAAATAGGTTGGTTGAATTCAGCACGTCAATTGTCCAGGAATTTCAATTGCTAATGAAATTACGGAGAATGTATTGGGACTGCATAGTTTATACAGAGGGTGACAACCAGCGTGCTATACGGTTCAAGTGTTACGAGGAAAGAGATAGATTGCAGATAGAAAGGAAGAGAGAAAGATAAACAGAGACACTGATTCCTACATCAATAAAGGTCCACCGTGATCTACGAAATCAGCTTTGAACAAAGAAATTGTATCGATATTGTTTTTCCCTTCGATTAATTTCCTCGAGGATCTGATGACGATGATTTTTAATAACCATGATTGCATCTCGTCTTAATAAATTTCACGCGATTTTATTTGTAGTTTTGTAGAATTTCCATTGCGTAGCCAGGCACGCTTATAATGGCGTCTGCGAATGACGGAATTGCCGTTTGAGAAAACTAACGATTTCCCCTCGATAAAAATCTTCGTCGGTATTTTACTTGTCCTGCTTTTTTATTTATTTCCTTTTTTCCTCTCTTTATTCCCGGCTCCCGCATTGGCAGGAGTGAAATGGACAGTTCGCGTAATTCAGCAATCGTCTGGTTTACGTTGCGCGCCGGCGCCATTATCGAATATTTATATTTCCTCTTGAATCGTTCCCCCATTTAGCCCGTGTTCAAGTGAAAATCGTTATGAGACGCTTTCAGTTTTATAAAGTTTCTTTACGACAGTACCAAACGTAATGTAAACGACAATAAGCCAAAGAGCCAATCAACGAATCAAAAAAAAAAAACAGTGAAAAGACAAATGATCTAAGGTGCGAGTAAATGAAAATCAAACCTAACCTCTTAAGATTCAAGCACAGCACTTAATTTCATACGAATAAGAGAATCCCGAACGACCAAAATTTCATCTCGCTCGAGCGATCAAAACCTTTTGCAATTGAATCTTGAGATTCGCGCGTGCGCATGCGCACATCCAACAACGATAAGTGTCTGGCACACCAAGCACAATGCATCCGGGATTGAAGTTGCATTTAACCGTTAGAACAGAATTTATGTACATTTTTTTAAACTTTAAAAATTCATATACATCTAAAGAAAAGTAACGTTCCCACGAGGAAAATGGATACAAAATATTACAGAAAATCAACCCAACACCTGACAAAAATGTCCCATAACCCATAAATTCCCACGACGTAGCCAAAACCCACCTATTGATCTAACAGGTCCAAAATGCTATCCCACTATATTAGTTCTATATTATTTAAACATTTTACCTAGCCTAACAGATTCCTCTAAATTTTCTATTTGTCTTAGGTAAGGCCTCTCTTGCTCGTGCAGTAATGTTCCTACTGCATTTCAGCCAATGCATGAGCATAGGGATACGTGTAATCGATGCGATCACCCCACGATTCTGCAATTGCAGCAGGAAGGACTCCTGCAGCTGCATCCGAACCTCTTGGCCAAACTGCTGCCATCCAGCCCCACGTCTGGCGCAGTACCTACATACCCTACTGTACTCACCCGGCATCGCTCTGTGAACAATGCCTATCTTTCCCATTAAAGCCAAGCACTATGCCATCCAATATCAATGCGAAATACCACTGTCTGACTCTATACGGATTGACTCTACTGCCACGTGCTCAAATTTTGCAAGAAAAGCGACGAACCGACTAAACAATATTTACAGACATTGTTAAACATATCACCTACGATATTTTCACAATTTCTATGAGCAACGTAACATTATTAAGTTGAGAAAACAATTTTTTATATTGAAAACAACACAAGCCAACAGCACGTTTGGTCTAACGATTATAAAATGTGCTGTTTATAAATGTATTATCAGCTAGGTATTTTACTATGGAAACCACAGAGAATCACGGTGAAACTAGCTGAAGCTAGTGGAAAGGTAGTGCAGGTAGAAGTGACAGAAACAGTGGAAGTGGATCGAGAGCGTTAGCCATGGAGAACAAGGGAACAGAGAGAGTAAGAGAGTAAGAGAGTAAGGGAGAGAATATGAGAGAGCCGAGAGAACCTAGAGCCACTAAGAGGGACAGTACTGGTACAAAGACCGAAATGCAAATACATGTACTGTGTACTTAGGAAGCTGTAGCGTCAGTGAACCTCATGCATAGAGATTGTATCCCTCCAGGTGTGCTACAACCCACTGACAAAGACACGTTTCTCTATACTGTATATATTCTATG